AGAGAGAGAGAGAGAGAGAGACAGAGCGCGCGCGCAATACGTACAGCAAACAGAGACAAACACAATACATTCACACATTCGCCCGCCTCCCCATGCGCGCGCACACACGCTCTGGTTCTCCGCACTCTGTGTGAGCGTGCTTACGTCGGATACCATTTGTTTTGTCATTTTGATGAGCGAGTTTGTGTCTCTGACAATATGGCGAATCTGCAACGCGTGTCATGAAACACGGTGGCTGCGGTGAGAGGAAAGTCAATGGCAAGCCGGCACACACACACACACACACACACACACACACAGCACACACACACAGCACACACACACACACATACAACACACAACACACAACACACATACAACCACGAAACGGAAGCTGACCTGCCCCATGGACTGTTGCGATTCCTTTGGCGTGCCAATCACTTTGACAATCTTCTGCAGCTGCTTGGTGTTTCGGCTGATGTTGACAATGTTGTTGGGGATCTGGCGCGTCAAGCGCAAGTACTCGCTGTCGCCATCTCGGCCTGGGGAAATGGACGGGAGACAAAACAAGTATAGGGGGGAGGGTGCAAACGCCAACAGGACGGCACAGCCACGGCCATCACACGACAAAGCAACATGCGTGTGTGAGGCGGATGTGTGACGGCGTTGTCAATTGCACCACCACATGAAAACAAGGCACAAGCAAATAAGTACAAACACACACTACAAACACACACTACAAAACAAACACCCACACAGCACACGTTCGCACCTTGGTAGCGATCGAGTTTGTGGTACGACATGGTTGTTGTTGTTGTTGTTGTTGGGCTCTGCTGTCGAGAGACGGACAACCAAAACAAATACATGTGGTGGTGGTGAGTTAGATGATCATGATGACTTCCACAAACACCAACAGTTCAAAGCACGGCAAACCAAAGGAACCAACAAGGTGCACACGCCTTCTCTGGCCGATTGCCACTACCTGAGTGCTGTGAGATGGGCTGATTCAATTCCCTCAGTCTTTCAATCCTTAGTCAAGCGAGCAAGGCGTTGTTGACCTGGTGCGTGAGCGTGGAGGAGGTGTTGGTTGTGTCGTCGCAGAGGCACAAGAAGAACAGAGCGAGAGAATGACGCATCGCGTCACGTTGCAAATTGCGCCGTGAGGATTCCATTTGCAAATTGTGCCTGACAACAACAAGCAAAGCAGCAGCAAAGAAGAGAGAAGAGAAGGAACAAGAGAAGGAACAAGAGAGGATACAAACCACAGCCAGCAACAGCAGCAAGCGAGCGAAGCGAAGCGATGACGGCCATGCCCTCGGAGGGCGCATCCATCCCTCCAGTCAGTGCTCATTGTGTGTCTGTGCGTATGTTTGTGTGTCTGGTGTGTGTTTTTTTTGTTGTGTGTGTGTGTGTGTGTTTGTGTGTCTGGTGTGTGTGTCTGGTGTGTGTTTATGTGTCTGTCTGTGAGTGGCTGTACTTGACATTCGCACTCACACACTCACACACTCACACACTCACACACTCACACACTCACACACTCACACATTCGCACTCACACTGACACACTGACACACGTGCTCCAACTCCCTTGTTCGACTGCAGCCTGTGGAGGACTTTCTCATGAACTTCTTGATGAAGCACAACATGACACAGACGCTCGAATGCTTCCAAACCGAATGGTACGGTATTCACCATCTCCGCACAAGTCACACTCCCCATTTGTTGTCCCACACAATCGCACACAATCACACACACACAATCGCACACTAACACGCACTCACTCACTCACTCACTCATTCACTCACATGCACATGCCCCCCCGCTTCCTTGTGCTGGTTAGGCACAAGCTCGGGAATGGACGGGAGAGCGCGGCTGAGATCGAATCCGTGCCCGATGTGTACACACGCAGTGAGCACCTGGAAAGGGCACTCGAGGACTGCGAATCCATGTGTGCAAAGTACCAACAGAAGGCAAGGTGCGAGGTTGCGCTTCTGCTTTTGAAATGACCCTTGGTTGCTCCAGCTCACCCCATTTTCATCTCATCCACGGGACATCGTTCTCCCGTTGACTCACACACTCTCACACTCTCATCACATTTGCACACTCTCACATTCACACACTGTCACGTTCACATTCACACACGTACATTTTTTCCTGTCCTACTCTTGGCACATGGCACCAGCGCTGCTGAGGCACAGTTTGAGAAGTTGCGGAAGGAGCGCAACCACCACAGAACAGCACATCGCCGAATCCTGCAAGAAAAGAAGACAATGGGCCAAGAACTCAAGCGGTTCGTGCACGTGTGCTTGTCTGTGCATGTATGCGTGCGTGCGTGCGTGCGTGTCGTGTGTATGCGCGCGTGTGTGTGTCTGTGTCTATGTCTGTGTGTGCATGTGCATGTGGACATGTGTGCACGTGCGTATCGTGCGTTGCGAAGGGCGTAGCTCACCGCCGCATCCCCTCACATGCTCGCCTGGCCGATGTTGTTGCTTGCAGGCTATCTCGCCAAGTGGACGACCTTCGTAAAGAGCTGGAAGAGTTAACGGAGAAGCACAACGCGGCCCTGCGCGAAAAGATGCTGGCAAAGCTGCAGCGCGACAAGGCATCACAACGGGTGAGGTGTTCAATCGTGACTCGCGTTTGCATGCCTGCCTTTCTCCTTTTCGCTGTTCCAACGAGCCAACCGCTTTCCAACAAGGCACACAACAATGCACACTCACTCAACGCACACACAACCAACGCACACAACACGCACACAATGCACACACACGCACATTAGGCGACACAGCTTGAGCAGACGGCACGCGCCGTGTCTGCATCGCAGCTCGCGCCGACGAGGACAACAGCAATAGCAACGACAGCAGCAGTCGCCAACACGACGGCCCAGCGGCCACTGCCGTCTCTGGCAAAGGCAACGAAGCGCCTGCAGAGCCCCGTCCTGGTGACCACACGCCTCATGCTGCTGCTGCTGCTGCTGTTCTGTGTCGTACTCAATTGCCACCTGACTTTGTGTGCGTGCATGTGCACCTGATTGTGCATCACCGCAACTGCCCACACAATACAACTGCCTCTCCCTTCACCACCACCACCACCACCACCATTGCCACCACCACGACAGAGCCAGAGCCAGCGCATGCCTGCAACACTCCCGCGACCGGAGCAGCTGCTGCCACCGCCAAACCTGCGGCCCATGACACCCGGCCGCGCCAAGGCGCTCACGGTGGTGAACACGGTCAAGGCGAGCACGTGTGCTGTCGGAGCCATTGCGCTGCATCCACAAGGCGACCTGCTCGCAGCCGTCGACGACGCTGGCATCATGAGCATCTGGCAACTTCCAGGGTAGGCAGGATCCTGATGTGATGGTCATGTGGGCACGCACATGTCGTGATGTGTCACGTCTTAATTCTTTTGTTTGTCGACGTTCGCTCGAAACGATCACAGCACATTGACCGACACCAACAGCACCATTACAGCTCATCCGCTCACAGCGCTTCCCCTCATGTACACATTCCATTCTCCCATCCATCCATCCATCCATCCATCCATCCACCACCACAATCGTCATCACAATCATCATCACCACCGCCACCAGGGGCCAGCTTGAGCAGCAGGTGGCGGCGCACCCGTCGTGGCTGGCAGACGTCCGCTTCCACCCCGACGGCACCCTCCTCCTCACTGCAGGCTCCCACCCAAAGGTCGACCTCTGGAGCTCAGCAGGGTACGGCACCAGGCATGTCTGTGTGTGTGTGTGTGTGTGTGTGTGCGTGTGTGTGTGTGTGTGTGTGTGTTGTGTCTGTGTGGCTGTGTGTGTGTGTGTGTGTGTGTGTGCCTGCCTGCCTGCCTGCCTGCCTGCCTGCCTGCCTGCCTGCCTGCCTGCCTGCTTCTCCTTCCCTCCCCTTTGCGTCCAACACGCTGCCACCACCACCACCACCTAACCCATCGCACATGCTCCACACCAAACCTGTGCAGGCTGTGTGTTGTGACGTCGTTCCTGGAGCATGCGCACTGCGTGTGGAGCTGCGACTTCCACCACACGGGCGACTTCATTGCATCTGGCAGCATGGACAACACGGTCAAGGTGTGGGATATCACCACAGGCAAGTGCCTGCACACCATCCGCTCCCACACAGACTCCGTCAACGTCGTCAGATTCCAGGTATGGTGGCGGTTGATTGGTGCTTGGTGGTGTGGCATTATCGTGATGATGTGCCACTCCCGATAGCCATCACGAAGTACACATTGTCACAACCACTGCATGAACTCACCTCGTGTCCACCACCAACGTCTCCTCGGACTGGTGCAGCCCCACTCGAACCACATCCTGAGCGGGGGTGCCGACAAGATCGTCCGGGTGACAGATGGGCGGACGGGCCTGGCTGTCGGCAGCATGGAGGCGCACACAAATGCCGTCAGCGACATTGCATTCACATACGCGGTCAGGGCTTAATCACGCGCTGCTGTTGTATCTGTGTATCTGTGTATCTGTGTATCTGTGCATCTGTGTGTCTGTGTGTATCCATCTTGTGCGTGTGTGTGTGTCTGTCTTCTGTCTGTCATCCACTTGGTTCGAGTAGCTCACGTGCTCAGTTGTCCTTCCCCATCACTCACACCACCCTCCTTCTCCATCGACAGGGTGACGTTGCTGTGTCGTGTGACCTTGACGGGACGGTGTGTGCGTGGAGCATGCGCGATCGCACGCTGCTGCACACGGCCAAGCTTGGGCCTCACCCGGCAAACTGCATTGCCGTGGATACGTCGGGACAGGTGGTGGCTGTCGGCAGTGGTGATGGTGCCATCAAGGTGCTTGCACTCGACACATTCGACCTCATCACAGAGGTGAGTGCATGTGTGTGTGTGTGTGTGTGTGTCTGTGTCTGTGTGCCTGTGTCTGTGTGCACACGAACACGTATCTGTTCATGCTTCATTGTCCTCCCCCCTCTCCCCCTCTTCCACCACCACCCCCCTTCCTCCTTTCCGCCAACCTCAACCTCCTCTAATCCCTCCTCCCCCCCCCCCCCATTCGCTTGCGACAGCTGCAAGCGCACGACGACGCTGTGCAGGCGCTGGTGTTTGACCACGCGGGCGGATTCCTCGTCTCGTGCGGCTCCGACGGCACCATCAGGCTCTGGTCGTAACACGTCCCATCCCATCGCATTGCATCGCTTCCACAACACCAACCACCGCCAAACACGCATGATGCACCATGCACCCCTCCTCCTCCTCCTTGGTGTTGCCTCAACATATGTTCATGCTTGCATTTGCACACGTCTCTTGTCCATTGATTGAAAAGCAATGAAAAAGCAGCCCAGCAAAACATCAACCAGCAAACAAGCATTGCACGTCGCGGCACACTCAATCTGTTAACACGTGCACGCTCACACAACCACAACCACAACAGACAAACAAACGTAAGACCGCACACCCTGCGTACATCATGGCATGTGCGCACTGCCCAGATTCAACACAGCCACACACACACACACACACACACACACACACACACACACACACACACACACACACACACACACACACACACACACACACACACACGACGACGACGAC